AATTATAATTATACTACTACGTCTACTACTACTACTGATAAAATAATAATAATAATAGTAATAGTTTGTACTAACTCCATAATCTCTGGCACTATTTAAAGTTATAGAAATAACAGCATAATAAAAACATTCATACTTTTCATCTGAGGATAATTGTGATTGGATTCAGTGATTTAAATCTGAGCTTTAATTTTATACTTCTTTGTACAATTCTTGTACTGTATTTATATTATTTTCATCTAAGCGCAGCATTATTTTTATTCCCAGTTTTTGATATCACATCTATCTTTTCCAAACGAGGAATGCTCTGGGGGTTTACACAAGTGATTCAATCTATTTGCTGCTGAGGGAGTTAACTACTTGTTGCCCGTTATCTCCTAACATTCATTTTGCCGTGGTGCTAATGAGAATATGGTCAGTAAGCATGTAAAGCTGTCCAACCACCATTTTTCTCATTTACTTCTGCGGGCTGAACAAGAAGATAACTCGACTCCCCCTCCCATGCTCAGGTGTTAAATCTTAAAAATACATTCAAGTACTTTAACTATTAACAACAATGTATCTTATTTGTGTATCACTCAGCTGTAAATCCTCCAATCATCTCAGAATTGGTGCCGACACTGTCCTTCCTTCTGGAGGGTGACTACTTTTGTTCCCCATGGTCCCTGTGTGTGTTGTAAAGTAGTCACCACTCCAAGCTCACACCTGCGATGGACTACAATCTCAGGTTTAGTTTACTCATTTGTACTGAGATTGTAGCCCATCACAGGTGTGAGCTTGGAGCGGTGACTACTTTACAACACCCACAGGGACCATGGTGAACATAAGTAGCCCCCCTCCTGAAGGAAGAACAGTGTCAGCACCAATTAAGGCTCCATTCACATATAGCGTTTACGTTTCCCGCTCGGTTTTCTGTGAGGAAGAACGCACGGGACTCAAATGCTATATGTGAAACAACTGCATGGATCTCACTCGTCTGCGGCTATTATATAGCTGCGAACGCGCGGAATCCGTCAACAAATCGCGCTTGGACCATTCTGCAGGCCCTGCGGTTTCGTACAGCGCTGCCGCTGCAAATGTCTGAACAATGCGCATTTAAAGTGCATTGCTTTTTTCTGTTTAGAGCAGCTCCGTGCGTTTTTTCGGCCGGCCGAATACGTGTGGACAACAGCTCCAATGGAGCCTCAGACATGATTGGAGGATCTACAGCCGAGTGATACACAAATAAGATACATTGTTGTTACTAGTTCAGGTACCTGAATGTATTTTGAAGATGTAACTCCTAAGTTTAGTATCACTTAACAGTAAAGAGAGCTCCTTGTATTGTATATATCATTTCCAAACACAATATGACACGTGACGGAGCCGTGGTGGAGTCAGGGAACTTGCTTACAATGACCTCCTTCCTGTAGGAAATCCATTAACTATTAACAGCTGGAGCAAACATCGTCCCGGTTGACTCTTCTGTCTACTATGTGATGTTTTTCATTCTCTACTAGGAGATATTTTTTTACTATAATTGAAGGGAATCTCCCACCAAGTGCACGGTGCTGGGAAACCCGGCAGATCACTGCTTAGATAAATTCAAGTTATCTCATTATCTGTCTTTGGATTTAAACTCCTCACATCCTGTACATGACAGTCTCATTATACAATGATCTCTTTTAGATCTCCCAATCTCTCCATAGGACCTATTCAATATGGTTGGGTAGGCTCTTGTACTTAATTTCTGTCTGGAAATCTAGAGCAGATTGTACAGCTGGGTGGTCAGTTTGCCATTCACATATAATACAAAACTGAGCCAAGGGTTACAGTGCACCAAACTAAGTGATAAATATTCCAGCATCCCGAAAATGACTTCTTCCGCACCAAATTCTAACCATGTATACAAGGGATGCACCGATAGAATCGGTATCGGTGCCGATACCGAGTATTTGTGCAAGTACTCATACTCGCCCAAATGCTTCCAAAGCCTATCCCGATACCGGAACATCCGATATCAGGAAGTCGGGCGGCGAGTCATTACACGCTGCCCAGCTTCCTGATTGGCCGGGAAACTGACTCAATGCTCCCTGGTGACCGGCTTCCCAGCCAATCCGGAAGTTGGGGGGAGGGGGGTAATGACTCGTCCCTTGGCTTCCTGATTGACCAGAAAGCTGGCTTCATGCTTCCTTGTCACTTTTACATCACCTCCTGTTCATTCATGAATTTCTCAATGGGGAGAAGCACTCAGTACAGAGGCTCCTCCCCATTGAGAATCTGTTTGATAGTAAATATCTTACTATCAGCAGTTTGTGAATGAATGGGAGGAGCCTCTATACTGAGTGCTTCCCATTCACTGAGTGCTGAGGCTGTAGAAAAAGACATTGAGGACTCTGTGTCCTCAATGTCTTTTTCTATTTCAAAAGGGAAATGTCAGGGGTCTGTTTAGACCCCTAATATTTCCCCGAAGCCGCCCCAACAGTAAAATAATAATAAATAATAATACATTTTTTTTTTTAAATGTGTAAAAAAAAAAAAAAGCACAACCCCCACACACACATAACATACACCATATTGTGGTGTACGCCAGGCACATGCGCTGCAGTGCGTTGTTAGAACGCATCACAGTGCATGATTTTTTTTCTTTTGTAAAAAAAACCCAATAAATTAAATGTGGCAGCGCATGGCAAAGCTTTGCGACGCATTGCGTTGTGATACCTTGTGCTGTAATGAAATATATGCCTGACACCAAGCCTGACTTTATGGCTCTTTTCAATAAGCACCTCACCTGAAAGTTTAAAAACAACTTCATTAAAATTAAACTTTAAGGGTATAGGTGGACAAAAACTAAAACCCACAGTTCGAATTTCTGCTTCAGCAGCAATAGAAGGACCCTGGATGCTATTATGACATACTGTATTTTTCCGTGTATAAGACTATACTTTTTCATTAAAACATTTACCTAAAAATGGAGGGGGGTCTTATACACGGGGGGCCGAGAGGAGAACCGCGGTTGCGAAACTGCCGATACCTCTGCCAACTAGCCTCACGAGTGAAACTTCCGATTGCAGAGACAAGCTAACAGGTTTCCTCCAATCATCAGCCTTATGTACCCGACGTCAGCTGATGCTGCGGAGAGCCTGTAGCCAGTGTCCAGATGCAACAGGGAGCGGTAATGTCGGAGCATTCTGAGCCCATAAAATGTCAGAAAACAAAAAAAATACCGGTACCAGGAAGCGGCTGTCTTACTCTGCAAAATTTAAACTGGATGTGATCAATTATGCAAAAGAGCATGGAAAATATTGATTTCTGAATTTTGGGTAAGAAAAGTGGGGGGCGTCCTATACATGGGGGCGTCTTATAGACGGAAAAAATACGGTATATTCCTGCACCTCTGTGTCTGCCCTGAAATCTATAAAGTCACCTTTAAGAGCACTTTCAGAGGTAAATGCCGTATCATTTTCTATTTCTTCTTTTTCTTTTTTTCTCACTTATTTTTCAGTTACAAATAATTTGCATTTGGCAGTCTGTGTCCTTTTTTTTTTGGGTATTTTTTTTTTTTTTTTCTGTAGAAAATACACCTGACCATGCAGCGCTCTTCCCTCGGAGATCATTTTATTGACATTTTAGGTGACAGCACATCACGAGACTCCCTAATAACTAAACTGAAACCTCTTACGATGCAGTTCGCAGCCGTGTGAAAATAAGAGCCTCCTCTATCTTGAGGAAGTAGAGGAAACCGCAAGATTATTTATTTACTTATTTTGCTTTCGCTGACCTACAAAATTCAGAGCAGAGCAAAGCATGGAGGTTATGTACTAAAAGTTTGAGAAATGTAGAAGACATGCAGAAAAAGGTTCTGATGGAAATGGAATTAAATTGGCTCGTTAGTCTTTAGTTTCTGAAAATTGGTTAAAAAAAATTGGTAAAAAAAAATTAAAAATCCCAGAGTCTCTGTTTGCTTGAGGAAGCGGCCACATGGTCCCGAAACGTTGCTTAGGAGATATGTATCATCACAGTCAATCAACATTATTGACTTTATTACTTTTGGAGTGCGAGTGACTACTTCTATTTATCCATACTTTGCGGAGGCATCTGTTGTCGCTGCGGCACCCGCCCAGGAGTGCGATGGGACATGAGGAATAATTATCAATATTTTTTACTGTCTACACTGTTACTGTTACTGTCACTTATCACAGCCCCAAAAATCTCTTACTGACTCCTAAATTGCAAGTGAAGCCAACACTTTTTTTTTGTTTTGGATGGAGTAGAGAGGGATTAGAAGACCTGTCAGGTTTTTACTGCTGTTTGTGTTCCCGAGATTCACCCTCTCTATATGTCTTGGCGACTGTTGAATGAAAATTCCACATTTTGGGTTGTCATCAGGAATAGAAGGGAAATCTTCCAATGGGGACACAAGTTCTGGAGACCACAGAGATTTCCCACACTTTGGACACATTTTTTTCTCACTTCCTGTTGTGGCTAGGGGACAGAAAGTGAAGGGAAATCTCCTCAATGGGACACAGAGGGCAAACAAAGCTGACATAGGTTATATCTACAAATATAATAATAAATATAATAAAATAAGAGACCAAATAAGAGAAGTTTATTGTTAGGACTTACATACACTTTATATAGGTTAAGGGCCTGTTCACTAAGGTGCATGAGTTATTTTAACTTATATATATATATATATTAGAGCCATGTTATCATCACTGGGGCCTGTAGGCTCACAATATCTTACGTGCCCAAAGCAAAACATTTTTATTTTTTTTACTTAGTTTAACCTGACATAGAATACCAGAGCAATTTGCAAATAAGCCTATATGAGAAGATGTATTTTTTTCATGAGATTTTGCAACAAAATGAGCTATTTCCCCTCTTGTGAAATTTTGCAAAAACTTTGTTTTCTCTCTCTCTGAGCTGCTCGAAAATCTAATTGTAAAAATAAAATAAAAACTACTCTTTTTGATCCTAACCCTATGACGGTGTGTTTTTTTTGGTTATTTTTAGCGTTTTTAGTTTTATTTAGTGTTTGCATTTATGCTCTTTTTCTGGTGTATTTAATTGTTATTTGTGTGCTGTCACTTTGAATGTATTTATTTTACTTTTTATTGCTGTCTGTAATTTTTTTCTGAGAAATGTCTTCCTATTGAAAAAATTTTAAATAATGAGGCTAACGAGAAGTTTTTTTTTAAAATTATTATTATTATAATACAGGATTTATATAGCGCCAACTGTTTGCGCAGCGCTTTACAATATACATTATTACAATTTATTACAATAGTTTTCATCCGGAACAGGTCCAGAATAGATGAAAGGAATTCATGTAACCCTCAAGAGCCATTTGTAGCTCACTGTTTCCTTAAAATCACAAAAAAAACTTAAGTTTGCCTTCCCCATTGATACTAATACTTTTCATCAACATGGTAACATTTTTTTAAAACTCTCCAGACTTTTACCAAAATTTCTGAGACATGAAAACTCTAATTTTTTTCATCTCTACTAATCATATGGAAAAAAAAAAGCCTCTTCTCAGACACCCATCTATTGTGCCCAGTGCTTAGTAAGTTACGATAATGCTCTCACGAAAATGTTCCATCTACAAACACAAACCTCCCTTTTAGATTGTAAGCCCTCAGGGGCAGGGCCCTCCCTACCATCTTGTCTTGAATTGTATTGTGATTGTAATGTCTTCCTTATATTGTAAAGTGCTGCGCACACTGTTGGCGCTATATAAAGCCTGTATATTAATAATAATAATAATAATAATAATAATAATAATAAGAAGAAGAAGAGCGGAGTTGGTATTTGTTCACATGAAAAGGATATTTATCTACAGAAAGCTATTTAATATTCATCTGTATTTTATCCCATGTATCTGTGATTTATCTCGATCACTCAGGTTGCAACTTTTTCTGATCTCCTAGACATGGATGCCCCATAGCACCTATGTATATACTGAGTCTATGAGGTGTATTTGAAGGACCAGGAGGTTTGTTTAGCAATGTTTTATAGAATGATTCAGAACACAGTGACGCGTTTTGTGCTACAATGCTCAATCAGATGTCGAGTTCAGTTTTGCCGCACCAACACGGTTACATGAAATCCAAATCCAATCTGCTTCATGCTCCTGATTAAACCATTAATAATTGAAACAATCAAAACACAAATTCATACAATGGAATAGAACTTAAAATCACAGCAATCACAGAGCACCTCATCCGTGCATATCAATTGGCGCAAAGCTATCGACATTCACTAGCTATCGACTTGGATGACATCCGCCCGGCTATATACCAGACGGGACTTTTATAAATGAACCCCTAACTCTTCCACATCTGATTTTGAGGACCTGATGTTCATTACTGAATTGAGGGATTTGTTATTCGGATACCAGACCCTTGATCCAAGCAGCATCCTGGCAGAGCAGGAAAGGGGGCGGGGGGGGGGAGGGGGGAGACGAGCGAGCGGCCACCCTCCTGCACCATACTAGGCCACATGCCCTCAACATGGGGTCCCCCCCTGGCAGAGCACCTTGCCCCCCATGTAGGGCGGGGTTCACTCTCAGGGTGTTGCGTGTGTGTTCCCTTTGGGTTGGCTCTGGTAACCCCGTGTATGCAACATGACACCAGGCACCCCACCGTCACGGGCCTTGGCTCTGGCCTCGTGCCAACACTCCCACACGTGTAGTACTGCGCACACAGGGCCTCATGGCTTCCACCGCCTCTGCGGTATTCGGCGCTTCCTCCCCCGGAGAGGGAGAAAGGCCACCATGAACGGCACCCTATGTCGGGCATAGCCCCTTTGCACACCTACCCTGCTCAGGATGGTTACAGCCACGGTACAGTCCAATATCACACTCCTGTAGAACCCCACCTTCTCAGAGGTTGGAGGGAGAAGAACCAGTCCACACAGATAGTCTTTTCTTGGTTTTACTTAAACGAATGAACATGGTATGAAGTAGGGATGCACCGATATATCGGCCGCCAAAACATATCGGCCGAAAATGGCACTTTTGGCATAATGCCGAAAGAGCCATGTTTCGGCCATGGCCTGACTTTTTATTTTATTTCGGTTTCGTTTCGGTTTTAAAATTTCCATTTCGGTGCACCTCTAGTATGAAGCATACATTTCAGCCACCCCCGAGTGGGATGACGGCACATCTCTTGATAGTTGCATAGTGATATAGATTAGAGAGAGAGAGGTGCAGCCCAGAGTCCACGACTTACTTCGGCCAAAGGCCCACTGGCAAATATCGTCAGTCTTACAGCTCCTCACTATTCTCCGGAATCCCATCCTTGTCAGTCCTAGCTCGGTGGTTTCCCCCTCCAGGGGAAACTAGGGAATCTCTATAGCTCTACATAGTCCTAGGCTTGGTCCTGTCCTTCCCATGGACCAGCCTATGTTTTAGAACCAGTCTCCCCCGGAGACTCTGCATACAGTCCTAGACTTCTGCTCTCCTATACTCTCTCTCTTTTCCCCTCTCGGGCGCCCCCTATAAATCAACTCTCCGGGGACACAGAGTCTCCCCAGGCCAGAGCTGCATCTATCTCCAGGGCCCCATGGGGGCATCTAGTGGCCGTTGGCCATACTGCACCTACCTACACCCATGCCAATGAGGACAAGGGCCTCTTCTCCACAACCCTGGCCCGGTGGTTGTGGGAGTCTGCGGGCAGGGGGGCTTATAGGAATCTGGGTGCCCCTTTCCATAAAGAAAGACCCCCCCCCAAGAATGAGTAAGGGGAAGTTGTTACCCCTACACATTCACCAAATACAGTAAAATAGTAAATATATTTTAGGTGGACCCCACGCTTTTTTTTGGGGGGTGGGGGCATTTGGGCCCACCTAAAATTCCTAGCAGACCTAAAGGGTCTGGTATGAATTGGGGAGGGGAATCCAATGCTGTTTTTTAAAATGATTTTAACGCTTAACAACACAAATTCATTCCGAATGACATTTGGAAAACATTTTGGATGCATTTGAATTTCGTTATCGGAAAATACAGATACGTTCGGATTGGTTATTCCGTTCATTTGAAAATTTGGATGCAACAATTTCAGATCAGAACGAAACGAATCTTACATGTCTATTTATATTAAATGTTCTCCCACTCACAAGACAGACGGTGATATTAGTAATTGTTGTTCGTTTAGTGCAGGGGCCCCTTATTTGAAAGAACATCCTTTATATTTAATTAGACCAAAGTTCCAAAGTAAGTGACCGTCTTTCCATTTTGTGTTTTCTTACAGGTGGGGCGTTTCATCTTGGCATGTGTTCTAAGTTGTATCTGTATGACGGCGGCAGTGGAAGGTAAGATTTAGAACTGCAAAATGGGGAACTGTATGGCAATGTTGGGACAAGGTCCTCAGGGGCCAAAGGTACAGATGCCACATATGATGGTTGGGTTGGCACAGGATGTCCGCCATTTCTAGGGTTGCCACCTTTTGGTGCAAGAACACCATGATCCAAATGGGTTGGAGGTGTTACAATGTTAAACCAGTGTGATATAGACATAATGAGCTTAAAACAGAGCCAGGTTTCTATCAACATTATCAAATCCAATATTTGTTCTTCCATCCGGGAACTAAAGTATTTAAGTCCATACAAACAGAAGAAAAGCTGGCCATACACCGGATTGCGGTACACATCACTGGTGTGCGCCCAAGGTCTTCCCCGTTTGATGCGTTTCACCCAATCACGGGCTGAGTGACTAAGCCCGTGATCGGGTAAAACGCATCAGTGGGGGTGGACCGTGGGCGGGACACCAGTGATGTGCTACAAGCCTCAATAAACCATCTCAGCGGAATCTGATGTGCGGCCAGCTTTTCTTCTGTTTGTATGGGCTCATATTGGAGCGAAGATTCCTTTCCTGAGCCATGGAGGAGCGGTGCGTCTTTTGTGTGATCTCCTTGCATCTAAATATGTAAAAGAGAACTATGTCGTCTGTGTTTTTCCCCATAGTCCTCTTAAGGGTCACGGGAGGACATATAGTAGCCTCCTCCCGTGACCCAAAGCTCAGTATATAGCGAGATACCGCTCACGATATACTGAGACCGCTGCAGCCGGGACGGATCCCGACAATATTGTCGAGATCCACCCAGCTGCGTGAGTGGCAGCTGGCTCTGCCTATCTAGAGGCAGAGCCAGCTGTACATTGACAGTTTAATTGTCACACGCCGGCTCGAACAATGAGGATGAGTGATTTTCACTCACCTCATAGTTCTCCTTTAAGTATTTTGTATAATTTATCAAAGCGCGAATGTTTTCTGCCACTTGTCTCTATTAAAAAGGCACCAGAATTATGTTTCTGGTACAAAGCATCTTTTTTTTATTTTGCACTACAAAATAATCGGGAATAGGGAAAAATAAATTGGCAAAAAAAAATAAGGGAAGAAGGGGCTGAAGGTGTTAATATGGACTAATTAGGGTCAATAAGGAGATAACATTTTATTTAAAAAAAATAAGTATTCATTTTCTGTGAGGCACCACATTATGAGGCCATAATGTGATATCACAATCAGAACATTTAATTACACTGGTAAAGGAAAAAACTATAGGATGAATGTTCACAGATATTTGCAGGGCGAACGGCCCTGTGAATTGTTTATAAATCAGTATAAGCAAAATTTCTGATTGCTTCAAAAGTTACCAATAATGTTCACTTACAGATTTCCTTTGGTTGCTTTCGGCAGAAGGTATCGAGACGGATGATGTACGGGCAGAATTTGGGGAAAGCGCCACACTGAAGTGCGTTTTAATGAAACCTAAAGAAACCCTTAATAAAACCTTTGTTCAATTGACTTGGAAGAAGATTCGGAAGGGCGAAGAAACTAAACTGGCCACATACAGGAAAGATACCGGAGTCAGGGTGGAGAAAGCGTATGAGAATCTACTAAATGTCAGCATATCGGGTTCGAACAAGACAGTCATCACTGTTTATAAAACTAGCTTAGAGGATGAAGGATGCTACGTCTGTGTATTTAATTTCTTCCCGCAAGGAGCCATAGAAGGGAAAGTCTGTCTGGTAATTTCTGGTAAGCCATTAAAACTGGTTCACAGCAGTGAATGTCCATTGAATCTCCACCTTTATGGTTCCATCCCCAGCCACATTGATAGGCGTTGCCTAATTTTTTTAAATAAAAACAACAACAGTTACATAAGCAAAGCGAGGTAAACACCTGAACCATCAAGATCAGGCTTGGCCTGCTTTGGCCACACTTCGGTCAGCCGAACATGCTCTGCGTGTTCGGCTGAGCCAAAGTGCAGAAGGACTTCGACTCAGCCGATCCAACATCTGGGTCGACTGAGCTGAAGCTCCGGCAGCTCACTCGCTGCCGTTCGCCCCTATTCACATATTGGCCAAATGGCAGTGAGTGAATAGGCGAATGCCGCCAGGCGGCATTCAGCTCGGCGGTGGGCTCTGCTTTTTCCAGTTAAGTTACAATTAATTTCCTTGCATAGAATAAAAGAATTCTCAGCAGGGTCCTAGAGGCGTTAGTAGGCACTATTTTTTCCGTAAAGCCCGGTAGGCAGATCTCCATCACCAGATGCAGCTCAAGCGTTACAATCTGGGATATAAACTGCAGAACCTCAGCCCAAAACTGCTTAATATGAGGACAATCCCAAAAGATATGTCTAAAGCCAGCCGGGGAAAACGGACATCTCCAACAAGTAGGAGAGCAATCCTGATACATCCTGGCCAAGCTCTGGTATGTCTTGGAGCCACTGATCCCTACATATACTTAAAGGAGAACTATGAGGCAAGTGAAAATCACTCAGCCTCATAGTTCGAGCCGACGTGTGACAATGAAACTGTCACAGGTCGGCTCAATAGATCGGGAAGTGAGCGAACACATACCGTTGCTCGCTCACTTCTCCATCCTGTCCCTGCAGAGAGCCGTGACTGTCACTCACGGCTCCCGGCAGGGATTCCCCCCTCCTCTGTACGATCCACCAGTGCTGACTGGCGGAGGGGGCGGGTACAGCTGGCTCTGCCTCTAGATAGGCAGAGCCAGCTGTCAATCACGCAGCTGGGTGGATCTCGACAATAATGTCGGGATCCGTCCCGGCTGCGGCATCTCAGTAGATCGCGGTATACTGAGCTTTGGGTGACGGGAGGACGCTAGTTTGTGTCCTCCCGTTACCCATAGGAGAACTATGGGGAAAAGCCCTAACCCCATAGTTCTCCTTTAAGCAGTCCAGGGCATCAGGAAACAGTAGACTATAAACCATAGATAATCCTTGTCCATCCCTGCCCAATCTTTTATCTGCCATTCTTTTGCACCTGTATGTATGGGTGAGGAGTAAAAAAATGTCTGTGAAGGTTCTCATTCATCCAGGTCATGGTATATCTGTATTTTTCTGGAAGATATTTGGCTGGTCATCCGACTAGCTTTCCCAATTCAGAATTCAGTTGTAGTTGAAGGCAGGCTCTGTGAGAGTGGTGAAATTGTGTCAGTGCATTGAGGAAGTTCATCCTATGGGCGTCTTTAATAAGTAATTTTACAAACTTCTAGATGGATATGGTTATTAGGAGTGGGATAGAACTTATGGAAACCCAATGTGGAAATACAGATTTATTTTGAGTTTTTGACCACAGATTCCATTCAAGTTTATTTGTAACAAAGTTGTGGGTTTTTTTTAACTTGCAGGTGAGGTGCTGATTGAAAAGAGTCATAAAGTCAGGCTTGGTTATGCCACAACACTGAAATGCTACCTGCGGAACCCAGTAAACGTCACTCAAGTCTCATGGGAGAAGAATGGACAGACCATCGGGATTTACAGATCTGGGATAACAAAGATTGAACCACAATTTCAGAAGATGGTGAATTTAAATATGGAATCTCCACATGTGTCTGCCCTTACCATACACAAAGCCGCCCTTGGAGACGAAGGAGTATACAAATGTGTGTTCAACAGTTTTCCAAAGGGCTCCACAGATGGGAGAACCAAATTACAGGTCCACAGTAAGTACTCCCATACTCTTATAAGTCCAGGCAAAAAGATTAATACTAAGAAACATGGACGACTGAGGACAGAGAAAGATGATGTGGTCCACAGTTGATTGATTCACTCTCTCTGCTAGGAGTCTACTCCAACAATCCACTGCACTGTCATTAAAGTAAAGTTAGTTCTGAACTTCCTTTCTGCTCATTTGAGGTCATGTCTCTATATTCTGAAGGCCATGTCCCCATGTTCTGAGGTCATGCTCCCATATTCTTGAGCTCATGTTTCCATGTTCTTGAGCACATGTCCCCGTGCTCTTGAGTTCATGTTCCCATGTTCTTGAGGTCATGTCCTTGTGTTCTTGGAGTCATGTACCTGTGTTCTTGAGATCATGTCCCCATGTTCTTGAGGTCATGTTCCCGTGTTCTTAAGTTCATGTTCCCATGTTCTTTAGGTCAAGTTGCTATATTCTTTAGGCCATGTTCCCATGTTCTTGAGGTCATGCCCCCATGTTCTTGAGGTCATACCCCCGAGTTCTTGAGGTCATGCCCCCGTGTTCTTGAGGTCATGCCCACGTGTTTTTGAGGTCATGTCCCCATGTTCTGAGGTCATGTTCCCATGTTCTTGAGCTCATGTTCCCATGTTCTTGAGCAGATGTCACAGTGCTCTTGAGGTCATGTTCCCATGTTCGTGAGGTCATGTCCACGTGTTCTTGAAGTCATATTTCTGTGTTCTTGAGATCATGTCGCCATGTTGTTAAGGTCATGCTCCATGTGTAGAATGTGCTCTGATTAGCTTCCAACACCATGTTCTTTAGGTCATGCTCCCGTGTTCTTGAGGTCATGACCTAGTGTTCCGGCTCTGTTCACTCTGTTCACTTCGGCTCGGTTATTCACTCGGCTCCCTTCGGCAGCTAAGTGAATAACCCTGTAAGTGTTGCCAACAAATGCTTTTGCTTATTTCAGCTGCAAGACTGTCTCTATACCTACTTTGGATATATATAAATATATATATGAATATACACACACATGCACACTATACATTTTATAAAATTCTAAATTACTATACTGTTTTTTTTTAGGTATTGCAAACTGCCTCCAGCCTGAAATGATTGTGATGACCCTCACTCTTCTATCGTTTCTTCTTTGGCTTTATTGGTGACACTCGCCATTCCGAATTGTCGGACAGGAAGAAGAAATGTCACGGAATCGCCAATACTAATCATCCGATGAGCTGCTTGTAAGAGACGTTTATAGCCTTAGAACATGCTGCAAGACTGAAGAGGTGGTATGGCGTTACCAGAGAGTTGCCACAACAAACTGTTTCAAGTCTGCAGATATCAATAACAAATAAGACTATGGTGTGTATCTTAGCTGATATGTCCTAATAGTTTCATTTAGATAGCAGTACATACAGTGCACTAAATTTTGGAACTTTTCTATTGAGTGAGAACAACATGCTATGCACTGGAGCTCCCTCTTAAAGGGAAATTGTAATGTTTTTGGCCTGTTTTATTGAAATGCTTTTAAAAATGTACCTTTTTGTATATTTTTTTTAAAAATATTGGTATTAAATCTTTGTTTAATAAGCATATATTAAAGCCTAACACTACTTCCATACTTCTTACCTTTCTGTGCTAACTGACTTATACTAGCCATACACTGAGGGGGTCTATCTATAAACAATTAGCAGGGACATTTGCCTTGAGAGTATGTGTGAACGTTTACTCTGTGTGACTATATCCCAAAATGAATGTTCTTTAGCTTTTTCTTTACAACTGGAATACATGTTCTTATGTTGTTATGTAATATCACATTATGGCCACTAGATGGAACTAAAGGAGCATAGGAAATAAGTAATTATTTTGAATGCTCATCAGCACCATCTAGAGGCCATAATGTGATATTGTCTGTGTAGGTTCTCATTCACCCAGGCCATGGTATATCTGTAAAAAATAAGTCAAGGCAACTGGACTTGCTGTATTTTTCTTGAAGATGTTTCCATGGTCATCTAACCATGAAGGAATTCAAACACCTCAGGGGGGGCCTTAAAACATGCGGGTATCCAGCCTGGCTTTTGTCAAAACAGAAAGAAGAGGGAAGAATGCCAAGGGTACCAGTGAGGGTGAAAAGCATGAAAAACTGAAGAATTTGGTCATCCCATATGTAGCTGGGGTGTCTGAGAAACTCAGGAGGGTTTTAAAAAAACATCACACCCCTGTCTGCTTTAAACCCAGCAATACACTGAGGCAGCAACTGGTTCCCCCAAAAGACCCAACACCAAAACACAAGATGAACAAGATTGTGTATGCAGTCCAGTGCAGTGAGGAGCAGGTTATTAACACCTTCTAGACTCCAATTATGCAAATGCAATCAACACCGGGTTGTGACTAACAGATTATGTGGATTGGAGCGACATTCACCATATTTACCCCCAGAGGATTTTTGTACAAGTCATTCTGAATGGAGAAAGCTGGTCGGATGTCCAGTGAAACGTCTTTAAGAACAATACAGCAAGTCCAGTTGCCTTGACTTATTTTTTACAGATATAATGTGATATTACATAAAAAATTTAAAAGAGATTGCCAACATGCAAATGAAACTATGTTACAGAAAACAAACTGCTGTGTTCATTCGAGTTACAGATTCCATTATATATCTTATGTACTATTTTGTTTATAGATGCACTTTAAAGTGTGATTTAATAGATTTCAGGCAATGAATGCCCATATCATATGGGACGTGTGCGTTATGCTCTGTATAAAGCAGGCCCGCTGGTGTACGTTGTGTAGAGGTGGCGAGATTCATTGTTAAATCATGTTGCATAGTTTACCTTTTATTTAAATGTATTAATATATCACTTTTCATTCATTTCTATGTACTGCAGCACATTAGGTTGCAGTGGAGTGAGCTGTAACATGCCGTGCTTAATAAAAACACAATCTGTCCCGGTTTTTTTTCAGCCCGCACATTGGTGTACACTGAATAGGACATAAGGCAAACTGCCCCGTCTATGCATTTGGAATGGGCCCTTATACTACCTCTGTTTTCAGAAATTATGTATAAATACAAATAAAATAAAACATTTCCAACAAAAACATTTGAAAAAATAAAGAATATTTTATTTTCTTAATATGTTTACTTGCAGTTCCAGATTAAAGACTCTCTACAAAAGCCAACGTTATAGAAATAATTTTATAAATTGCCAAAAAAAAAAAAGCAAAGTTATTGTTTATATTAGGGACAGTTTAGGGCCAAAAAAATGATACTTTCACTGAAAATGAGTGAAAGCTGCCAACAGCCCGATCTCTAATCATACTCCCTCTTTTATGTCTCATGCACTGAGTCATAGGGAACACAACAGACTCTACACTGAGTTGTAGGGGGATAGGTCTCTGTTATCTTCAGGATTCTTCATCTTCCTGAGCAGCAGGAACTAACTCCTACACTGCCCTTTATATGTCTGGTCCCGGGCCAGAGATTTTTCCTGTCTCTGATTGTTAACTTTCTTCCACTTTGCAGGAAAAGATTTGTCACTGTCACTAATGTGGAAAATAATGAGTATATAAATGTAAAAATAACATGTACAGGTTTAGGAAACATGGAAGCCGATCTGAGCGGAGAGGATGATCGCAAGTGCAGGGAAGAAAATAGAACATCTCAGAGTTGCTCTCAGCGCTGGATCCGGGCCAGTTACTCAGAGAACTTGGTGATTAGGGATGAGCGGATCTGCCTGGGTTTGCTTGAAGTTTGAGAATTTTTCAGCAAGCCTCATTGGAGTCTATGGGGGTCAAATGGGAGTTGTAAAGTCCCAGCATCTCCTCTCCTGTTATAATATCAGCATTGTAATAGGAATACATACTGGAGTTATTTCTGATAATACAATCAAAGCTTACTTATGTAGCGTTCATCCCCGAAGGAGCCACTGAATATGAACTAGGGTTCTCCTACCTGTTTTTGCCAGCCACCTGTAACGTCCCACCTCGGGGAAGGTGTAACCATGGATCGCAACAGCGGAGGATGGATTAGGGTCAGTATGCAGCAAGTCTCTTATGCCTCTGAATGGAGTAAGGCGGTGAGAGTGCTGCTTCACATCATACCCCGTTTTCATAAATAGTCACAGTGGGGGTATGCGCTATCACCACGTGGCAGTGGCCTAGGCAAAGCGCAGCAATGAATGTCAGTGAAACCACAATCAATGAGATAATAAACTTGACTATGGTATCAGCACAATAAATGAGATAGTAATCTTGGATATAGTATGAGCACAATTCAATGAGATAGTAATCCCCAATATGGTATCAGCAGATGAGATAGTAGTCTTGAATATAGCATAAGCACAATTAAACGAGATAGTAATCTTCAATATGGTATCAGCACAATCAATGAGATAGTAATCTTTGGCTATGGTATAAGCACAGTTAATGTCCTTGCGGTCCAATGCAGGAAGACCTAGGTACTTGCGGTTGTACTCGACTTGGTTCGACTGGCATCTGCAGGTCCACTGAGTGGGGCTGTCTCTGGTTGCTCCGAGGTCCGAGTAGGAGGTGAGGAGACGCTGTGTTGATCAGCGTCCTGCCACATTCGTTAGTAGGACGCCGATCAATTAGTGAGCCGCGGCTTTAAGCCTGCGGCTCTTGTGAAGGGGGGAGGAGCCCTGTGACGCGGCGGCCCTGCTGCTGTCTCTCCTAGACAGGGACGCTCGAGTCCTGTGGCGCGCATGCGCAGAAGGACGTCGGACCGTGCCGCCGGCCCGGGTGGCGGCACGAACATTACACCACCGGCCCCTTTCTCAGCAACACCGACACTCAGGAACAGAACAGGCTCGAGTCGTAGGGTCTTTTTAACATTTATTGCACATTAGCAACTAGGAGAGAGGGTTTGAGATTGCAGGATACCCGAGTAGCAATTTGGAGAACTCTGTCTTCTCCATTAGCAACGGCTTGTATCAGTAACACAATGGTCCTGTAAGAGCGACCAGCAATATGAAGTAGCACAGAGAACAGCCAGGAATTTTCAGGAGAACTGTCTCTTGACTTTTAGTGCAACAACTGGCTTCTCTTCAGTAAAGTACCTGAGAATAGGGTGAGGGATCTCATACAGGGTTCCAGATGGTAGCTCTCACCAGCTCCTCTGCGACACTCCTCGATAAGCAGATTCCACCTCCAGCCCAGCTTCCCCCAGGTTCTTTTCCAGTAACATCTAAGGTCTCTGGGCCCCCAGCATCTGCCACATGCTGAGGCTCAGACCGGGCATCCAAAAGTATCTTAGGCCTCTAAGCCCCCAGCATCTGCCACATGCCTGGTCCCAGGCCAGGCATCTGTACTATCCTAGGCCTCTAGGCCCCCAGCATCTGCCACATGCTGAGGCCCAGGCCAGGCATCTGTAGTATCCTAGGCCTCTAGGCCCCCAGCATCTGCCACATGCTGAGGCCCAGGCCAGGCATCTGTATCACACAGACCTCCTCCCAGGGAGGGCCTCAGGGGAGAGAGAGAGTTCTGGAAAGTGTCCCCAAACCTTTTATCACCTTGCTGCAGCCATAGCTCTGAGTCACTCTGCTCAGGGATTGGTCAGGGTCAGGTGCATAGTCATAGTCTGAGGATGGATCCTCCCTCACTGTATGCTGACTCCACAACCCAGCAACAGGGGGAAGCAATCAATACAGCAAACTCAGGGAATCCTGCAGAACTCAGAGCAAAACAGCATCTAGACTGATTACAGTCCAGATATACACTAAATTTAGTAGCAGCATAGGAGAGGGCACTACACATGAAAAAAACCCTTTTATGTAGTGAGTGCTGCCTTCCGTCTGCCCATCACTTCCAACAACTTCCTGGATCCCTGGTGTGCTTTGCGTCTCTTTCCCTGCTGCTTGATGTGATGCAATCTCCATTTCTCAAGACTACATCCAATCATGCATTGCTTCCAAAGGCATTGCTTTGATGACCCCATCACCTTTGGGGTACAGGGAAGATGGTGTCACTGTCCCACCAGTCGGGAGTGTTCCTAGTTCTGTAACAAACTTATGGACAAGTATGAGCAGTAGACTACAGCTATTGGTTGTTTCAGAGAGGAGTACCGTTGATGAAAGGGTTAGGATAATTCGTAGATACCCCAACCACGCAGGGGAAGGTAAACCAGTAAGGTCATTACTGGGAGAATACTGGAAA